CTTATATGTGCTTGTATGTGTATTCTATACAATTCATTTCCCCTTTGGAAATTGCATTGTGGATTAAAAGCCCATTAATACTATATGTGGATGTGTAAAATAACAGTGTAATTTGAGATAATGAATTGTAAATAGGAAAATTCTGGAAAAAAAAATAGAAACTTTACAGCTCGGTTTTAAAATAGTTTTAAATGATAATTGAATAATTGCACTTGTTGCAATCCCTTATTTTTGATCGACAGATTTTAACTTTAAGCATTGTTTGACATTATACATATTGTCATAAATGTGAAGTGTTATTCTCATAATCTATGTGGCAAAAATAAGCATTTTTATACAAATTGTTCTTATTAATGTTTTTCTCTTGCTTAGAGAACCTAATTGGAGCAATGAGCAGTAACGAGTGCTTCAAGTGTGGGCGTACTGGCCATTGGGCTCGAGAATGCCCCACCGGAATTGGTCGTGGCCGTGGAATGAGAAGCCGTGGCAGAGGTGAGTTTGAATCCATAGATCTAACCGTAATTGTCCTCTTCCTTTTTGCTATATGCAAGATTGAGTAGCAATAAAGTAGACTTGTAGCCTTATGGATTTAAATTAATTGAACTAATTGTCTTTCTCAACAATAGGCTTCCAATTTATGTCATCATCACTCCCAGACATCTGTTACCGCTGTGGTGAGTCTGGCCATCTTGCCAAGGACTGTGATCTTCAGGAGGATGGTAAGTATTAATAAACAATGAAGAATAAATACTTTGTAACAGTTAAAACTTCGTTAAGTACATGTCCCACAATGCTATCAAGGTTTTATAGTCTTGTTTATATTCTTTTTCTTATTGTGGAAGCCTGCTATAACTGCGGTAGAGGTGGCCATATTGCGAAGGACTGCAAGGAACCCAAGAGAGAGAGAGAGCAGTGCTGCTACAACTGTGGCAAGCCTGGCCACTTGGCTCGTGACTGTGATCATGCAGATGAGCAAAAGTGTTATTCTTGTGGGGAATTTGGACACATCCAGAAGGACTGCACCAAAGTCAAATGCTATAGGTAAAAATTGGTCTTAATGCTAAGGTGGGCATTAATCCTATACTAATATTTCAGATTGAAAGGACTGATTAACACACTAATATGCAAGAGCTTTTTTCAGTTGCCTGTTCCTGCAAGCATCCCATGAGTTTAATTTTGATACTTTATTGTAACCTCTAAATTCTATCCAGAATTTTATGAATACTAAAATTGCTATGTTGTGCTTTAATGTTCAGTATGTATTAATACTGCAGATTATGGGACATTTTTTTTCTCTTGACTAGCAATATGTTTAAATCCACTTTGTCACAAATGCTTCAGAAGGTTTATGTACATATATTTTTCATGAGGCTAATGTTGGTTTTGTCTTATTTCAGGTGTGGTGAAACTGGCCATGTAGCCATCAACTGCAGCAAGACTAGTGAAGTCAACTGCTATCGTTGTGGGGAGTCAGGACACCTTGCACGGGAATGCACAATTGAGGCTACAGCTTAACTGTTTTCCTTTGTCGCCCCTCCTTTTTCTGATTGATGGTTGTATTATTTTTCTCTGAATCCTCTTCACTGGCCAAAGGTTGGCAGATAGAGGCTACTCCCAGGCCAGTGAGCTTTACTTGCCGTGTTAAAGGAGGAAAGGGGTGGAAAAATCGACTTTCTGCATTTAACTACAAAAAAATGTTTATGTTTAGTTTGGTAGAGGTGTTATGTATAATGCTTTGTTAAAGAACCCCCTTTCCGTGCCACTGGTGAATAGGGATGGATGAGTGGAAAGAGTTAAGTCAGACCAGCAAAGCCTCCCTGGGTTCCATGGAAGTGATCGCATGCAGGAGGAAATATGCTGGAAGTGTCTGAACTTCCACAGTAATTAATTCTATTACAATAATGGCCTTGGATTGTCTGACCTCAGTAACAGTTTTAACACCAAGTATTTATATCGGGCCTTACCAAAAGCATATAGCGAAGTGGAATAAACAAACAATGCACATGCCTGTTAATGGCCACAAGAGTGAGGGAGAAATTGAAGTAACCGTAATACAATAAATGAATGTCTAATGCGAGGTAACAAGGGAATGGGAAACATTAAATATTTCAAACTAAATCAAACCCAGAACATCAGTGCTTGAGCATACACAATTTGGAGCTATTCAGGACTTGAAAAGAACTGCATTTTCACAGAAATCAAGATGTTATTTTTGTATACTATATCACTTAGACAATTGTTGAGTTTCATTTGCTTGTAATCAGTTTTTAAAGTCAGATGGTAAAAGCAATTGAAGTCCTAGAATATAGAAATGTAATTTTAAACTATCAATAAAGCTGGAGGAGGAAGGGGAGTTTGACTGAAGTTTTTTTTTGTTTGGAGTTTATTTTTCAGGTACATGATAATATTACATAGATAAATGTAGAAAATGCTGAACAATTGACTATTGTACTAATGTATAAACAAAGTTAATTCCTGTATCATTTAAACTGTAGAATTTGTTAAATATATCACTTCAGAAGCAGTATTTGCATTTTTTTTTCTCTTAGGTGACAAGTGTGATATAATTAGGAGTGCTTATTTACTCCTGTAGGTAAAGTAAGCTACAGTTCAGAATGTTTAGACAAAAAAGTACATTGGGAGCATTAAAGCTTGCAGGTTTACCACTGGTGGAATGGTGGAAGGAATACTGAGATCATATAAAGGATAACACTGTTGACATAGAAAGTATCTTTACATTCTTCTCCTGCTTTTCAGTACCTAACTCACTAAAAATCAAACTGAAGCTATCACAGTCACAAAAAAATAAAACTATAACACTGAAAATATAACGTGCACCATGTAAATATTTTTTATAATTTATTGTTTCACATAGATGACTGAAATCTATCTTTTAGAACTATCTAGCAGTACTGTGACTTAATATCAGAACTTAATCTGTGACATGTTAATAGACATAAAAATTCTGATATTTGACAAACACTGAGCACCTTGAGCTAATACTGCCTTTGTTGGGAAAAGAGTGCAGAGGCTTAAGATAAACAGATTGAAGTTCATTCAGATGATCATATGTTCTCCTATAAAATGGCTGCCATCATTTGTTTTCCTCAGGATGCAGTTTTGAAAGGGCATAATGGCCTGATCAAAAGAGATCTCGACCTCAGAAAAATGGTTGTTGGGGATGATAAAGATGGCTATAAAGTCCTTGCCAAAGAATTTGGCTTCAATCAATTCGGAGTCACAAACATTAAGAGAGTGCAATACTATCACATTCTTAAAAAATGGTATGTCCAACAAAAGTTACCCGAATAAGAAACTACTGTGGAAATTCATAACCTCGATAACAGCAAATGATTTGCATGTTATTCACATTGCCTTGTATCGGTGGTAATGAGACCAGAAAAATAGGAAAAAAAAAATAACTTGGACAACGTCAAAGTAGGAACCACTGCTCTCTAAAAAGCATATTGTCATATATGTTTGCCATAACAACCTGGGTGATGGGGCAGACTATTGGAAACTGTTCTCTGGGGACAAATAAAATGTCATGAATGACATTGTAAGTTTAGAAAAAAACTATTCCAACAAAACCCACCCCAACTTTGAGGCAATGCTCAAAGTAACAATTTTGGATTTCTTTCCGACCGCAGGACCAAGGCTGCTTGAAATCATTGAGTGTTAAATTCTACATTGCATCAGCATATTCTACAGGAGAATGTTAGGGAAGTCAATGATCTGAAGTTTAAATGACAGGGATTGCAACAGAAAGATCCAAAACAACTAAATCTTAGAAATGAATGGCTGAAGCATTCATTTTTGGAATGACCAAGTCGCCCTGACCTTTATTCAGTTTATGGTATCTGAAGCAAGCAGTTATGTGAAACAGCCCAGTACTGTAAAGAATGAGAAAACCTTCACGTGCAGGGAGAAATTTAGCTAAAGGAATTGCTAAGAGATGCCACCAGTTACTAAGTCTAAAATGTTACATACTTTTTCTAGCAAAGACATGATACAGTACTCATCTTGATTTATAGTGCTTAAATTCAGATTACATACCATATATCACAGTGCTGTACGCTTGCAGATAGTTGGAAGGATTTCTAACACATATCGCCACTATATAAGTGTCACCCAGAGTAGGACAAATACAGCACACCTAAAGGTTGAGGGCAACACCAAAATTAGATCAATGACAAGGGCGAAGAAATGAACCTGAAGGAAAATAGTGCACCTATGAGAGCAGGACCCTCAGTTTCATATCCTGCTAGTTAAAAAGCTTACAGCCAGTTATCACTGAATCTGTCTAAAAGTACTTTATTAATACAATAACTACAGCATTACTTCTATTTCAATGATCCATGATTAGAAGCTGGATTTTTAATCAGAATGACTAACGAATTCTTGGAAACCAAAAACTCGCACTTGTTTGTAAAACTTCAAGAAATAGAGTTAAAAGCAGTAACTGCATTTTATGCTGCTTTTCACATGAAAGCATCTGATTTACACAAATACAAAAGTATTACAAATAAAAAAAGTTTATAAAATACATTTAAGTTTATTTTTTAAAGGGTAAAAGAGAAACAGAAACAGATAATCCAGCCTCAGGTTTTCAGCAAGCAAAAGTTTTCCTTTTTCCTTTACTTAAAAGTTTTCTCCTAACTCCCTTTTCAGGGGGCGGATACTTCTGCAGACCTCAGCCCGCCAATTCCCCAAATTTTGGGTTTTGGCTCCGCCTGGCAATCACCGTCAGGCTTCGCTCTTAAGCGTGAGATGGCATTTAAAGGAACTGGCCGAAAAACAAATACGTTCCTGCTTGGAAAATACATCCATCGCCCCATCAGTGTTTAGAATGAGAGTCGATATCAGGGCTCTTACATAAAAGTCTGTACGCTATTAGCGATTTTGCCTATTCATGGCAGTCTACGCAAACTGCAATAGACGACCGGAAGTCGTTATAAAGGAGTACAAGACTAGAGGATCTTTGCCGCTGTCGATTACAGGTCAATCTCTTCCGGGTTATCTTGTTCTTTTTCAAGATACGTTTCCGGTTGGGCGTCAGGTTTCGGGGCAACATCGTGTTCTGCAGCGGCTGCAACCATGGTGAGTGGGTGGGAGTTCGTGTCGGATCGCAGGATCCAGCGCAGCTTCTCGCGTGCTTGATCTTCACGACTCTTTGGATTTTCTGCCAGTTTTTATACGGCCGGGGTTAGGCAGGCACATGTGAAGAAGGAACGCTCCTTTGGAAGTTAGGCACGGGAGAGAATCGAACAGAAGTTATCGCCCTTCGCTGTCCTATACAATTATACCACTGTATGATAGGATTAAATTTGGATATGATTCAAGGTGTATAAGAATGAGTCTGTATAGGGCGTGGAGGAAAATACAAGACTTGCAGTTGAAGATTGAGTGTAAAAAATATTGTGCAGTTCAATATAATATTTTGACCTGCCGGCAAAATAAATACATATTAAAAAAAACACTAGTTTTGTTATGAGTGCACAGTAAGTTACTAGTGTCCAGCACTATGTTTAATAATAGCCCCCGAATTATTTTTAAACAATTGTGTATAATTGGATTTTACATAGCACTTTTACATCACTTCTGTGGGTCACACACACTTGTTATTCTGTTTTCCTTTTGGAACCAGACTATTACTCTTGAAATTGTAGGAATAAAACTCATTTTGAATCCTGCAATGTATCAACTCCCTTTTTTCTAGATTTTTTTTTAAAAAATAGTTCTGTCATGACTATCATAAGCACAGTCAGATGCTTGCTTTTGCATGTTAGTTTTTCATATTCCTAGTTGTTGATTTCCTGTTCTGTGGACTGTTATGTTCTGTTGGATACCTGATCATGTTGTTATTGACTGCTAGAATGGCATCAATCATTAGACCATTAGGAAGTGTCTTTAAGTATTTAGTTATTTTTATTCATTTAATTATATTCTACCCTTATTTTCAAAAATAACTCAAGGTGGTGAACATATTCCATACAGCTTCTTCCTATTTCCCCACAACTGAGGTGTGTTGGGCTGACTGGCCCAAGGTCACCCAGCTGGCTTTCATGGCTCATGCAGGATTTGAACTCATGGTTTCTTGTTTTCTAGCTGGTGCCTTAGTCACTAGACCAAACTGTGAAACTCCTTAGTCAAATGTGACACTATGAATGGCTCACAACTCACAACTCAAATTAATCCTCAGTATGACCAAATCTATTTCTCAAGAGACATGTGAAATTATAATTGGAACTCTTCACATGGAAGCTATGGATTTTTCATATTGGATTGATTTAGCAGGATTTTTTATTTCTTCTTGTAAAATTTCTCCAAACTTCATGTTATTAGTATTCCTTTAAAACAAATAACAATTCTCTCTCTTCTTTAAGGCTCGAAATGCAGAAAAGGCCATGTAAGTACAATTTGAACTTATTTTTTTAATGTGAGAAATTGTCAGCCTGTGTTTTTTTTAACAGTTGAACAATTTGCTATATTTGTTCTACATATACATTTTTAATTTTAATGATTGAGAGAAATAATCACTATATATCTTAATGAAAATCCCACTTCCCTTCAAATACTAGTGGAGAAAAACAGGATATCATTCACGTGCACTGTGGTTTCAATCTCCTTTGATTAAGAAAATATGACTGGTTTGTAGACCAATATGTCTTTGTGGGGAGTTGCTTTTAATTTCCATCTCCAAAGAGAAAAATAAACTCTTACAGCATAAAAAAATACAGTTTAAAAACTTTGAATTGAAAGCTTTTTCTTCAGTGTTGGATAACCTAGCACAGAAGTTTGAAAGGATTAGTCCAAAAGATTGTGGCATTCTTTCATTTTTCTATATTAATAAGGCTTAATCACGTTGTAGTTTTGTTTTTCTTTCCTCATATAATAGCATTTATTTGATAATTGTCTGATTTGTTTGTTTAGAATTTTATGTTTAAAATATTTTTAAGGAACGGACAATTTTAAAAAACTTAAAAACAATGTTCTACCTTAAAAGATGCAGACTATATTCATATTCATTTTTCTATGTTTAGTAACTAAAGTCTGTATAATTTTTCAGATAATGCATGCAAATTGCTTTACAGAAATAAGTCAGACTTTTTATTTACCCAGTACTAACCTTCTAAATGTTTGCAAATAATTTAAAAGAAAACAGATGTTGAACTAAGCTTTCTTCCTTTTAGGACTGCTTTGGCAAGGTTTCGCCAAGCTCAGCTAGAAGAAGGAAAACTTAAGGTAACAACATAGTTAAAAATATTTAAACAAATATACATTTAAATACAGAGACCACTCTCCACTGAGAAGTAAAACATACAAATGAGCTCTTAAATAACGTTAGGAATTAAGTCTATAAATGCAGACATTAATCTTGGCTGATTGATATGAGATTATTTTTTCTCAATTTCACCCCAAAAAGCTGGGACTAGCAAGATATTTTTCTGTGTAAATATCCCTTCAACATATTCACAATATACACCAAAACGTTATTGATTAAATTGCAATGATCAGTATGGTTAACATGCTAGCTGTTTGGGCAATATAAACCATTTGAAGGAACCCTTCACAAAGCAGTCCTCCCAACTTGGTCAGACTATCAAGTTGGCCATACCTCTTTAAAAGTCTCATGGTGTTGCTTTTTCCATCAGAATTATTTGTGAAATAATGTGGCTTATGCTGATACTAGTTTTGAAACTGGTTATTTAGAGACTTCTTGCTTTATTAGTATGCATATGGAGAATATTTCTGCATTGCCTGGATTAATAATGTGATGCCTGAACATCAAACTGAGTTCTAAAGTTAACTGCTATATAATGTTCTAATATACACATTTATCTTCTCTTCCCTGCTTTGTTGATGTTATATGTATTTTGCATGTGCGATTTAAATGAAAGCATCATTGCAGTTATTGATTGAAATTCAATGTAATAAATAAAAAAGGTACAAAATAAAATATTCAGGAGTTTTCATATCTAAGCAAGATTGCTTCTGCAAATAGTCATTCTGTTCATGCTGGTGATCTTCTCATGGCATATTCTTTTTGCTAAACACAAAGTAAAATTTTAGCACAAAACAGGCAAATTTAGGATTTATGTAAAATTGGTTCTAAAAAGTTCTTCAGAACAAAGAGGAGGATATACAAGGATGCTTGTGTTTTAATTGTTTTTATTTTATCTATGAGTGCATATTTCTATAGGTAGTCCTTGAGTTACAATTATTTGTTCAATGACCAAAAGAATACACTTCTTTTGTATTGTATAAACTGCTAGTTAAATTGATTGCAACTGAATAGAAATGAAAATAAATAAGATCCCGCATAAACCATAGGACAGATCTGAAATAAGTAATATAAATCTCCCTGACTATAGTATAAGATATGAACAATTTGGTTTTTTAAAACAAAACGTTCAAGTAAAAAAATTGGGAAAGATGCACAGGAAGTTTCTAATATATACTAATCTCTTGTAGAGCAGTCTTTGTTTCAGTACTATAATTGAAAGTCATGTGCTTTATAGAAATCAAGCTTCTCTGAAACACTCAACATTCTGACAAATTTTACAAAACAATTAGAGATATTCATATGTTCTCACTTGTTATCAATAAAGGATCTCTAACATTTCAGACCAATAATTTTCGTAGTGGAAAACCAGCTATTTGACATTTTGATCTGTACATAAAAATTAAAATTGAGAATCACATGGCTGTCCATTGATACAGTATGCTATCACGGGTTGAACTCCATGTCATACCCATATCATTGGATAGCCATGTGATCCTTAATTTTAACTTTTATGCAACAATGTTTTTTTTCAATTGGTTGGTAAATTAATATAGCTATTATGTTTGTATTGACCTATTGTGTATATAAGAAAGCATGTACATTAGCTATGTAAGTAAACAAAAATAAGTTGTTGGAAAGTACTGTATCTAGCTTAATGCTAGGATACTGGTAATACATTTGCTTGTTTCAATAGGAGAGAAGACCTTTCCTTGCATCAGAATGCAATGAATTGCCCAAAGCTGAGAAATGGAGACGACAGGTTTGTTTGTTTTTGAGATTATGTATCAAATTTAAATCTGTAAATGAAGTTTGATTGCATATTTCTATAGGTAGTCTTTGAGTTACGATTATTTGTTCAATGACCATTCAAAGTTATGCTGCTACTGAATGAAAAGACTTACAGTACAATTAGTCCTCAAAGTTCTGGCTGTTGTAGCATCCCTGTGGTTACATGAGCAAAATTCAAGCATTTGTCAATTAGCTTGCCCTTGTGATTGGTTGCAGCCTTCCATGCTTTTGTGATCACTGTTTGTGACTTCCGCTGCCGGTTTTCCACAAGCAAAGTCAATGGGGTAGCTGGCAGAGAAGATTGCAAGTAGCTCAGTTAAGTCTTCCCCTACAGCCAGGTTTCACTTACATCACCATGCCTTCCCCCACCCCTTTGCTCGCCCTTACTCTGGGCCTTCTTTCTTCAGCCTTCCTTGCTTGCAGACACATATGCACGCATGTCTCATTCTCTTTCTCCAGCTTTCCTGAGCTCGCATGGACCTCTCACATTCTTTCTTTGGATTCCCTGTGCTCACGCACACCCCATGCTGTCTTGCCCCAGCCTCCTTGAGCTTGCACGTGCCCTGCACTCCCTTCCTCTGGGCTCTGCTCTCACTTTTCCCAGCCTCTCTACCCTCACATGCACACGTGTCTCCTGTGCTCTCTTTCTCCAGCCTTCCTGAGAGTACATCACACTGTAGCACTCCCTGTTGCCTGTGCTGAGCTTCCTAGGCCTCCCCCATCCACTTGTAGCACCTTTGCCCTCTTTGCCTTGAGACTCCTTCCACTTCCCACTTAACAGCCCATTTGTCTGAGTTAGGATGACAATCAGGACTCCCTAGATCAGCGGTCGCCAACTGGTGGGGTGTGAGAAAATTTTGGTGGTCCGCAGAGAAATGTCCCCCCCAAAGCAATTAATCCAGGCTGCGAGGGAACACAAGGCTACGCCGTCCACATGGCCCGTGAGAGCCCTCCCTGCCCACTCACTCCTTACCTGGCAAACTTGCCTGCTAAGTTCCTATTTTTCCTTTTTTTTTTCATGACCATCAGCTGTTCTGCTGTGCTGGGAGATTTAGATTAGCTAGAAAGCAGGAAATCATTGCATTTCTTGCTTTCTACCTAGTCTTTAGATCTTCCTTAGGACTGAACCTTCCTTAGGACTGAAGCTTCTATTATTCAGTGCAAACTCACGGCAAGCAAATTTTATGTGACAGACTCAGGTAGCCGATGGCAGATAGATCTCCGAATGATTCTGTGAGCAACTCAATCTGTCTGCCTGCTTTGTCTGATTTTGGGTAAAAGTTGCTCTTTTTTAATAAAAAATCAATATGTATATACACGATGTGTTGTGAGTTACTTTTGTGAGTTTGCTTTCTCTCTCTCTCTCTCTCTCCCCCCCCCCCCCCCCAAAGTAAGTTATGTCACTTACTTTGATGTACGAAACTGCCATATTGCAGGGCATTATTGGAAGGTGAAAAAGATGTAAGTATTTAAATATCATTAGGTCCAAGGTCATCTATTCTGTGTACACAAATTTGTTAGAGGTCAGAATGAGAAGAGCAAGAATCAATTAGAATCAAAATAAGCTGGAAGGGACCTTGGAGGTCTTCTAGCCCAGCCCCCTGCTAAGGCAAGAGACCCTATACCATTTCAGACAAATGACTATGCAGTCCCTTCTTAAAAACCTCCAGTGATGAAGCTTCTATAACTTCTGAAGGCAAGCTATTCCACTAGTTAATTGTCCTCACTGTTAGAAAGTTTATCCTTAATTCCAGGTTGCTTCTCTCCTTAAGTAGTTTCTATCCATTGTTTCTTGTCTTGCCTTCTGGTGCTTTGGAAAATAAGTTGTGGCAGCCTCTCAAATACTGAATATTGCTAACATGTCCCCTCAGTCCTTCTTTTCTCTAGACTAGCCAAACCCAAATCCTGCAATTGTTTTTTTGCAGCTGCAGAATTTGAAGCCTTATATAATATTATCTGTAGCTCCGTGTTTGCAGTGTTCCTGATTTAATGAGCTGTACTAATTGCCTTGGCCCTCAGCTCAACCATTGCAAGACTTTACAGAACAGATGCTTCAGACATGATATAAAGACAAGTGATGTAAGAAAACCATGTTCTTTTATACATAGGGAAGATGAGCAGATTTTATGAATTAAAGAACTTTATGGGAGACAGTGGTCTTACGGCCAAAGTACAGTGAGATAAGGGACATATTAGGCAGTTATAGTAACAACAAAAAATATTAAAGTCTGACAAATGGCATAAGCTTTTATGAGCAATTGCTTGATCAATTAGGTAAAATACAGGTATTTTGTTTATCAAAGAAAATCAGAATAATTATTAAAAGACAGTGGCTTTGATCTAGAACTGGTTTTTTTATTTTATATAAATAAATTGGATTCTATTAACATGAATTGTGTTGCATTCTTGGACATATATAAGTATTTATTAAGTACTTAATTATTAAGATACAAGTGTCACCTAGCTGTTCAAGAACACTAAAAGCACAAATGGCTAAAACGAAGATTAATGTGATATTAAAGGTATTGTTTATTCTTTCAGCCAATTCTTTTTCAGAGATTCAAATGGAGCAACACAATTAAAATATAAAGATATACTTTTTGTACAGTGAGTGCTTTAAACTAGGCAGTATAAATCAGTTGGGGAAATATTTTGAATATTTAATATTTACAATCATCCCATTTGGGAGTTTTGCACATGGTCGCCAAAATAATTGGTCTCCCATCCATCAACCAAGCAAGACTTTAACAAAGTAGAGTATGGTGCAAATGTTAACTAGTATAGAAGGAAAACTATGTCGATGATATCTTATTATAGTGCATCTGATGAAATAAGCTACAGCTCACAAATAAAATTTTAATAACATTTGCTACTTGGAAAAGATGTTACCAAGCTCAGATGTTAACCAAAAATCTTACATTTCTAAACACGAGATGTCATAGTGTAAAACAGGCTACTTTTTCAAAGAAAAGAACTAACCATTGTATATTGTTTCTTTTCAAAAGATTATTGGTGAAATTTCCAAGAAAGTGGCTCAAATTCAAAATGGTAAGTTCTTAATGATGGGAGTAATCTCAATATCCTTCTGTAACTGCAAAATTTAGTTTTCAATAATATTTAGTTTTCAATATTATTTAAATCTGCACCTTTTCCTAGTTGATAATTAAGGAATATGGTACCAAATTTATGAGGAAAATTGATGCCAGTATTCAAAAACATCTGTAAAATGCGCTCTTTTATCCTTTTCTCTCTCTACCCTCCTTGGCCTGTTACAGTTCTTGTGTTCTGCAAACCTATATAAATGTTTAAGTTATAATCGTATGAGAGGATTTGCCTTTTTTATTTAAAACATACTATTTTTTTAATAATTTGAAGGCTATTAAAGTTATCCAGAAGCAAAAAGAAGGAGAAAAGCAATATGAGAGATCTTTTATAATTTCCATGAATTTTCAGGATAGAAAAAGTATTGTTTCAATTTAAAAAGATCACATGATAAACTGTATTTTCTTTTTTTAAAAATAGCTGGTTTAGGTGAATTCAGAATTCGTGATTTGAATGATGAAATTAACAAACTCCTAAGAGAGAAGGGCCATTGGGAGGTCCGTATAAAGGAGCTAGGAGGACCTGATTATGGAGTGAGTATGCAGTAATATTTGTAAGAAAATGCAAAAGTATAAGTGTATTATTCCTAAGTTGTTAATAAAATATTTGATGAAGGAAAACATCCGTATACATAAATTGCTAGTTCAAATATTTTAGTCTCTCTATTGAAATAATCTCTTTGAATACTTCCTGCACAATTTGGGCAGATCCTGGTCACACCAGTTGGTTAAAAATATCTGAAGTCATGTGAAATTTTGTTTACAGAGATAAAAACAAATACTTTTAAACTTAGGGCTCATCTCCCTTAAAAAACATTTTATAGAGAATTGGCCCTAAAATGCTTGACCATGAAGGAAAAGAAGTTCCAGGAAACAGAGGTTATAAATACTTTGGAGCAGCTAAAGACCTACCCGGCGTTCGAGAGCTTTTTGAAAAAGAGCGTAAGTATTTGCACGTTGATTGGACTATTACTGTAATCAATTGCATGTAAATGTGTGTATGTGTGTGTATGTTAAAGTTATTTTAAGATAAAATGATATTTTTGTTCTGTTTTTTGATCTTGTGAAACCAGAGTTGTTTTGGGGTTGGGTGCAGGCAGTCCCTGCGTTAAAAAAGTCAGACTTACAAGACAGCCCATACTTCTGAACATGCCTGTTGCTAAAAATGTCAGGCAGTGTTCTTACTCGAGCTGATGAGCCATTGAAGCTGCACAATGTTTTCATTTGTTTTTGTTTTGTTTTTGCATTTCTGAACTGCCTATCTGCCTCAAAGAGAAACTATACAATAAAATGTCAAAATATAAAAATATTAAGCTAGAATTAAAATTTCAAAATTAAAATTTTTAGAAGGAGGCAAGAATAATTAAGTCCTGTTAAAAGTTAATTTAAAAATTAATTTAAAAGATGAAGGGAGGATTCTCAGGGTACCAAACAGCCCTGTGGCTGTATGTTCCTTTGGGATTCCCATATTAGGCCACAGAGGCATGTTTTAACTCTTTTTTGGAAGTCCAGGAAAGAGGAGCCCTGTCTCATCTCCAATGGAAGAGAATATTATTCCACAGGACAGGAGCAATGGCAGAGAAGTTTCTTTTCCTAGACCCCACCAGTTGGAGTGTGTTAACTGATGGGATCTGCAACATAACCTTCCCTGTCTTACTTGCTGGGGTGGGCTGATATGTTGAGATGAAGCCTGTCCCTTAAATAGCCTGGCCTTGAGCCATGTAGGGCTTGATAGGTTAAAACCCAACATGTTAAATTGGACACAGAAGCAAACTGGCACCTAATGCCGTTTGTGGAACAGAAGTGTGACATGTGCCCTTCTCTGGGCATCAAGTATAGCTTGTGCAGCTGCATTCTGCACCACCTGGAGATTCTGGGTACTTTTCTTTTTCTTTTCTTTTTTTTTAAACAAATTTTATTAGTTTTTACAAAACAATACACAAACAAAGCATAGAATATAATAACATGAAAGATCTTTTCTGAAAAAACCAATAGAACATCTTATTTAGAGACAGAATAATTCCAAATTATCACATTTCCATACAAGCACAATTTAATATATATATTTACGTTATCTGTTCAACTTCATATCTTATCCCAACTTCTCTTTATTTCTCCCTTTCATTCTATTATTCAAATTATATTTCTTGTTAATAAAATTTTTATTGCTTTTCAAGGACAATACACAAACAAACAAAACATAAAAACATAAAACATCTTTTCTGAAAGTTGCTTGGTCCTGGGTTAAAACTCTTCGTACAGACACAAATTCAAAAATCATATTCATTTTATATACCATTCCATATCTTATTACCATTTTCAATTTTCTATATAGCTTCTCCCCTCTTTTAACTTTCTTAGTTTTATTTTATTTATCTCATCTCAGTTCAAATCATAATACTTATCATTCTTTGTCTTCTATTTCCAGCTATCCATTCATCTTTTCTCTTTAAACAAAACTTCTCCTGTACACTGATTGAAGCCTTTAACTCTTTCCCCTAACTTAATAATACTTAATATAACACATAACTTGTATTGGGATTCTGTTTAGTACATTCTAAAGTTACACAATGTATTTTATAAGGAAAACAACAACAACAAAGGAACAAATTTATAGGTATATAATGTAGTTAAGACCACTATCAATGCCATTAAAAAACTAATCATAGATATTAGTACTCATTTATATCTTAAGCATTTTATTCTAAATACACATATAAAAACACAATCTTATGTACCTTTACAGAATCCCTTTTTCAATTAAATTTACCCATTGTCTCTAAATTAATTTTGTTTCTTTACATCTTGCTTCCCACCATTGAGGCTTCTCATCCCATCCTTTCTCCCTTGCTTATTCTTCTCCTTGACCTTTTTACCCCTTTGTCTCTCCACCTCCCTTTTCTTCTTCTGCTTTCCCCCTTTCTGTTGTTTTCTAACCTTGTATCCACCTTTCACCTCATTTTTCTCTTTTTTGGTTGTTTTTTCAAGTCTTAAAGTCCCCTTTTTCTTTTCCTCTTTCTCCTCCTCCCCAAATAGAATCACTTGTTCATCAAAGATGGCTTCTTCTTTATCCCAGTCGTCCTGCTGCGCAGTCAGTTTTTCATAAGTACATACCGCCATTTCTAGAAATTGAAAAAGAGTGCCCAAAGTATCTTTCCCTTCTTGTTTTTCTTTTTTGTATTTTTGATATTCAATTTTTAGTTCATCCACAAGTGATGCCATTGTAAAGAGAAAAAAAATTTCCAAAACAACCACCCAAGTGCTTTTAATCAAGAATAATTCCCAAGAGTTCCACAGTCACCAAACAATCCAGATAAGCTATTTCTTTTAGTACTTTTTTCTTTCTTCCATTTCTCTTTCTGGGGTTGCTCCAATGCGGGTTTTCCGATTTCTCTTAAAGTTCTATCGCTGTCACGTTCGGAAGGAGAGTGAAAAGAAAAAAAGCTTTTCCTTTAACTTCCATTCGCCGCTTAACACACTCTGGAAACGATGTATCTTTAGTAAATTTTAAGTTCCAGGGTACTTTCACTGTTACTTTGTCCCGGTCAGCAAAGATCACTTTCACTTCTTCACAGCTCCTCCTGCACTTTCTTTTTCCGGCTGAGCTCTTCTATGTGGTGGCCATTGCTGACCGCCGTTCAGCTGCCTTTGGAAAAGGGGGTTTAGCTGGCTAGGGAAGAGAGGTGCGATATCTCTCGACCCTGCCAGACCCCCCCTGTCTTCGCCACCTTCTACGGAGGTGGCTTAGCCCCGAAGCCGAATGGCTCGGGGCACTCGGGCAGTGAACACAGGCAGAAACCGCATACGGTCGCGGATTTCTGCCTGCCCCGAAGCGCTACAAACCGGAAATCCCCAGATTCTGGGTACTTTTCAAGGGTAGCCCCATGAATGACTTGAGTCTCCCCTATCCAGAAAAGGATGTAACTGACATATATCACAGAGTTTGTGGATATTAGAAATGGACAGTTTTAGTGGTTCATACAAATCTTACACGACTTCAGCTGTTCAACAACTCAAAAAATGAGAATGTTATTCATCATTTTTAGTAATATATTGTCTGTTCATAGGTACAAATTCCAACTTATGTACAAATCTGAGTTAAAAACAGAGTTGGGAATGGAATATATTCTTAACCTAAGGAATGCCTGTAATGTTATCTTTGATTCTTATTATTTCTTCTATATATAAATATATAAATTACATATTAAATAATTAATTGGTACATTTCTTGATTATTTCAAAATGATCATAACCATATTTGTCCTATGGTTATGTGGAGATCCTCAATCATTCAGGTCTCGGTTGTCCCAAAGGTGCTTTTCAAAAGGCAACTGGAATTTCTTGTTTTTTTTTCCTTGAAAACATTTCATTTCTCATCCAGTAGCTTCTTCAGTTCAGTTTTTCAGTTCTTCAATTTAACAAATATGGGGCAATTGAATATTAACCTCACTGTGCATTTAAAAATTAGAATGTTTCTATGAAATAGCATGGATGGTGCAACATCTTAATTTTTTTTTTAGATATGTTCAGGTTATAATAAAATGGCAGAACATTTGAAATCTATGTAACAGTAGCAAACAAAGCAGCTGCAGTTTTCAAGTCATCCAAAAAGAAGAGAGTTTGATTATATCTTGAAAAGAGACTGAAGTAAAAATAAATTCTCATAGGATGTACTCTGTTCAAGAAGTCCTTTAGCTTGATTAGGTTGATTATGAGCACTAGTAAAGGTTTAATTGAACTTGTGACCTAAAATCTGATCCTTTATGCTTCTATTTTATTTTTTGAAAATGATTTAATTTATTCTATTAGCCCTTCCTCCTCCACGGAAAACTCGAGCTGAACTCATGAAAGCTATTGATGCAGAATACTATGGCTACAGAGATGAGGATGATGGTGTCCTGGAACCGCTGGAACAGGAACATGAAAAGAAAGGTATAGGAAATAACTGTTGGCTTTCTGAAGTGCCATTTACAGAAAATTATTTGTAATTCAAATCAATATAATTTACTTTAACAGTAGCCAGAAATGGATTTTCAGACGGTACAGAATATTAAAAACAAGCACAAATTAGGCTGAAAAACAGCTTCTATCCCAGGGCAGTAGCTCTTTTGAATTCTACTGTATAGTGCAGTGTTGGTGCGGTGTTGCGGGTTTTCAGTTCAATGTGTGGAGTGTGAAGGATGTGTGTTTGTGTTTATTTTCATGGTCATGATGTGCACTGAAGATGGTGTTTGATTTCATTGTATGAGGTGCGATGACAATAAAGTAAACTAATTTTGGTAGCCCACAATGGCTTGTATTAAATATTCCAGTTCTTGAATATGAACTTACAACTCTATTCTATGAGATTCACTCTTCATCTTACTCCACGGTACTCCAAGGATCTCTTCTGTTACTTAACTACCTGGAGGACCCTAGTTATCAAGTAATGGTCAGATGGGAGTAAACATATCAAGAGCTTTGGTTGCTTTTCTGTTCCAGATTCATAACAAAGTTGCTACCAAATCGTTGTATTTTCTATTGCAGGTTGCCAATAACTTTCTAAAAAATTATAATTGCTAGGAATTTAACCTCAAAACTCCTGCATTTAAAGTATGCACAACTATGTCCCATTCCAAAAAGTAAAGTACTATTGGAATCTGTTGAAGCTCTTGATAATTTATAAATCAGACAATTCATATATTTTGTATAATCATGTTACCCACTGTCTAGCTTGTACTGGCATCTTGAAGTAAGACTTGCATTAGCCTGAAGCCAGTGATAGCACTAATCTGCAACTGCTAGGTAACTTTAGCAAGATGTCAAAGCATAGGTGGTTCCTAACTCCCATGTATGAACAGAATATTCCATTCCACAAATAAATGGGGCTCCCAGTGTAGTAGCAGAAAAATCCTTAGAACGTTCAGTTCAGTCTTCAGTGAGCTGAAATTCTTAATGGAGCCTTCTATTTTCAGTTTGTCACGGGAATGATTTATCTGTGAGAGCATTCTGTCAACTCCTAAACAAAAATTTATCTTGATAACCAAAAATTAGATTGAGAGTACACTTCCAAAACATTCTGGAAATGGTTAAATCTCCAACTGCTCCTGTTGATAAGTCACCAACATTAGATGTCCTCCTAATACATTAAATTTATAATTAAGACACTGTAAACGCAATCAGCTTAAAGGTCACTTCAGAAACACCAGGAAGAGTTGGGTAATAGATAGTAGTACATGAGCAGAATCTAACGTCTTAATGGCTTATCACAAATGTGTATGTCCAGATTTTCAAATACAATTTTTCAGTAGAGATATACAGTACATTCCTAAAGTTTGCTACTACTTCACTAAATGGATACCAAGGAAAGAAATTGTTTCTTTATTTCGTAAATATTGTTCCCAAAGATCCAACACGAAGTTGGCATCTTATCTGAAGGTCAACTCCCCCACTAATACAATCCACAGTGTAGTGGTTAAGGTGTCAGATTAGGAGTGAGAAAATTCAGCTTGTGGTCTGCGTTTAGCCATGGAATTCACTGAGTGACTTTGAGACTTTCTCTTAGCTCAATCTATTTCACAGAATTTTTGGTATGGGGAAAAAACAATTTATGTATGCATTTATATATTTATTTCCCGCCTTCTATTATTATTACAAAAAAACTCAAGGTGGTGAACACACCCATCACACCTTCCTACTCCTATTTTCCCCACAACAACCACCTGTGAGATGGGTTGAACTGAGAGTGACTGGCCCAAGGTCACCCAACTGGCTTTCATGGCTAAGTCAGGACTTGAATTCATAGTCTTTTGCTTTCCTAGCCTGGTGCCTTACCCAGTAGACCGAACTGCAAACTCTACATTTGCATTTAGTTTTAAAGCATAACCTCCTGTACCAAACATTTTCAGTACCATGGCTGATAAGCGAGATTGGAAGCTTAACGACTCTTATTTTCCAGCCTAATGCCTATATCGTACAGCCTTTTTCTGAGAAGCAATCGGATGTTTTTATTCCTACTATTTAAGGGAATTCAGTAAATGCTGCTACCATTTATTGGTAAGCCTGACTGAATCTATTTTCATGGTAATTAACTCCAGAACATGGATCCTATTTATCACATGGGTACAGAGGAAATTAATGCATGTGTTTTAGAAATGAATGGACCTAAATAAAACTAGATGAACGAAAATAAGGAAATAACTAAATTGCCTCTTTTAATTTTGTTAAATTTCTGTAAGTGAATGTGAGTGATCTCCCAGTAGAACTTATTTCTTGTCAACAAGAGTGCCTTGCTGTGTTGCTTTTGAATTCACAATACTGTTGTGTTTCAAAGATTTACACAAATAATAAGATGAGATAGATTTAAAGAATTGTGAACTTGGAAAGGACTCCCAGGTAGTCCTTGAGCTGTGACTTAACGACCATTCAAAGTTTTGATGGACTTTTACTCATGAACCATCCTCAAGTTATGACTGATGCACCACCTCCACCATCACATGATTTTAGACACGTGGCAACTGGCTCGATTTTATGACTGACTGCAACATCCTGGAGTCACATGATCACATTTGGCAAAAAACACCCTTTGGATAAGTTAGATTCAAATTTACAGCCATATGATTCACTTAGCGATGGTGGCAGCAGCCTTAACAACAATTATAGTTTAACAATTATAAAAACAATAATAGAATAGAATCCAGTCAGTTTCGCCTGCAGCAACTTACAACCAAAATTCAAGTTGCAATTGTGGTTGTAAATTGAGGGCTAGCTGCATTTAATCCAGTCCCCTGCTCAATGTAGGTATCCAAGTTAAAGTATCTCCAACGAATACAGTAAATGCAGTGGCTAGACTCTACATAGACCGTTTGAACACATCAAGTGAAAAAGAGCTTACTTCTCTTTTGATACTAATTTCATTTTCAATCTACTTTTCATGTTAGGAATTTTCTGCCAAAAACTATGTTCCTACATCTTATATATCCATAATTCTATATTTTGACCTTTGGATTGGTGGAGAGACATCGTTTCTGGTTCCTGGATCATGCTTGTCTTTCAGTCTAGTCCTTCATAGTATGCAGCATAAAAATTCATCTTGCAATTAACAACTATTCTAAGTTCTTTTCACACCTACAGAAATACCTCTGTATGTATATGTATTAACCTCTGTATGTATATGTATTCTTCAGCAAAGAAACTGGCATTTGTCTTTATTAAATTTCATCTAATTTCCTGCAATCGATTTATTTAAACTCATCAGTACTGTTGAGATAGAAGGTCAAGGACTGAACTTGACTTGACTCACTACAGTATGATGAAGAAACATTGGGAAGCACCGAGTACAGTTTTCACTCCAGCTATGAATATTACTTCATGCCATCCAGCCCAGTATAACCATGTCATTAATTATGGTGTCAGAGGATACTTTGTTAAATGTTCTGCTGAAATCAAGAAACTATGTCTGTGGCTTTTGCACAGTTTACTGAGGAAGTTACCTGATCAGAACATGAGATAAGACTAATCCGGTAAGACTTGTTTAAGACAAATCCAAGATTGCTTCTTTTCAAGATGCATATGGGTCAGTATCTTTATGATTCGTACAAGAGTTTTCAGAGGTCCTCTTTCAGACTGACTGATTCATAATTCCGTGAATCTCCTCTCTTCCCTCCCCCACCCCCCAGGCATTTCTTTCTGTTTTTTAAAAAGAGGAACGTGTTCTGTCTTCTAAACCAGACATTAGCAATCAGAAGTGTTATTTGGAGGAAACGCAGATTCAACCTGTTATTATGTTTCAGTATCGCTGAATCTAGCACATTTTGCCTAGAAGAAAGAGCAAAAAGATTCTAATGGCTGTCTGCAACTCCTCAAAGCAGCAGCACCTTTTCCTAGGACCACATGGTTGCCCTCCTTTATCTGCTATATGATCTTAACCAATGGCCTATTTGACCTGAGGAATTTAAAAATGGTGCTACATTCATCTTCCCACAATCTTTTTGTCTTCAACTTTAAATGCTTTAAGCCTATATAGCAGGGGTGGGCAAACTTTTTGGCTCGGGGGCCTCATTGACTTTTAAAATTTGACAGACGGGCCGCCACCTGGTGTCAAAATGCCTGTCATTACAAGTCAAAATCAAATGAATGCAATCATTCAATCATTCACATCAAACCTTAATTCTGTACCAATCTTCGGCGGGCCGGATTAAAAAGACCAACGGGCCGGATGTGGCCCGCGGGCCGTAGTTTGCCCACCCCTGCTATATAGGCATTCCTTCACTAATTTTAACCAGATGCATTGTACTGTATCATCAGGTTAATTAATTTGGATTTCCAAGCAGAAGGGTATTTTAATATTCAGTGCATTTCCTCCATTTCTGCTGATTCTCTTTTGAAAAAAAAAGGTACATTATGTCCTCTTGAACTGTTACTTTATTGAGTCTTGATTATGCCTAATAAATCAATATTTGGCTTCTTTTACTAAAAGTTCTTGTTCATTTGGTATATTATTTTCTTTCAGATTTTCACTGTTTACTATTTGTTTGGGATATATATATGCCACCCAGAATCAATGTTGAATTGAGCATCCATATAAGTATTGATTACAAATAAAATTATAAACATCTCCCCATCTTTTTTACAGCTTCCAAATGTCTGTTTCTCCAGTGACCACAGTATTGATTGTTTCCCTTTTATAAGTTCTGAGTTGCATAATTAAGTTGCTTGTATTTTATATAAAATATAAAAGTAAACAACACTGACCACTGGGTCATCTTTTAAGGCAGTCAAACTGGCGGTTCGCGGGCCATGCCTGCCCCAGCTCTGCAAAGGCAAAAAACACACGTTGCGATACATCATGTGACATGATCCAGTTTGACACCCATGTTTTAATGTAAAGATGGTGCAGTCGGATATGACCAGAGTGAATATTAAATGTTCCTGTGATCATCTAAGTATATCATAAATAGAAAAATAAATAGAAAAATAATTATAGTGGCAAACAAACTTCAATAATAAGTCAATATTTACATATCCTAAAGGGAGTGTCCACTATAACAAGGAGTAGTTGCTGTATCTTAGTAGTTTGCAGATTTCGATACAACTTTCAAATGTGGCGGTTTTGCTTTCCCAGTTATTGCAGAAGCAGTGGAAAGGTGGAAGGTAGAGAAAGAAGCATATCTTGCAAGAGGTGACAAGGAAGAGGAGGAGGAGGAAGAAAACATCTATGCAGTAAATGACAATGAGGTAGTGTATCTGTTTCCAACCTTATGCTATATATTATATAATAAACTAGCATACTCCATCATGACTGATAAAAACATAAATAATAAATATGCAGCTACAGTACATATTCACAAGTTGATAGACCTGCATTTTTCAATGCTGTCTTATACAAAAAGAATATAATTAATTCTTGATTTCTAGCCAGACTCTGGCTGAAATGCAATCAGGAGAGTAAGGAATTATTCTGTTTATTTTGAGGTGAAGTTCTAATGATGTGCTAAGCAAACTTAGAATTCAACATTTTCTCAATGCTTTGCAGTCTGATGAAGAAAATGGAACGAAAACAGATGGTGAGGATAGTCAGCAGAAGTTTATTGCTCATGTCCCAGTACCATCACAACAGGAGGTAAGGACTCACACATGAAGGAAATACAGGAAGCATAACTTGAAAGATGGGGGAGGGTAGGGAGGAAGGAAGAAAAAAGGAAAGGAAAGGATGAAGAAAGAGGGAGGAATTAGGGAGGGAGGGAAGGAAGGATATACAAGAAGCTTAACTTTCAAAGAAGTAGATTTGTGCACTTGTTGCAGCAAAACAATTAGTATATTTCAAAGTAAGTAGATTTCCTCAGAATACACCGCAATAGGCTATTACTGTTGATAGCTGGGTGTTCACATATGCACAGAAATAAAGGGAGGGATGGTAAAAGTGCCACTGAAAGAATTTCTATTGAGATTATCAGTCATCCAGGTCATGGTTGTCCCAAAGGTGCTTTTTCAAGAGGCAAGTGGACTTTCTGGTTTTTCTTTGAAGATGTTTTACTTCTCATCCAAGGAGCTTCTTCAGCTCTGACTGGATGGTGGGGAATGGAAGGATTTATACTCCTTGCAGACAGCTGAAGTTTGCATTCTTTTAAAGGGGTTGTTAAGGTCACCTGGAGGTTTATCTTTGTCATCAGGGTCACCTGAGTGGTTTAAATTGATGTGGAACCTTCTTGGAATGGTTGGAAGGACCATGTTGAGACTGGAGATAGATGAAATCTCTCCCCCTCTGTTGAGAGAGAGCTGTTCAATTTTGACATAAATGGCCTGAAAAAAAGCACCCTTGGGACACTGAAAGAATTATTTTTCTCATTAGGTATTTTAATTCATTACTAGACAACCTCTGCCCTGTTGTGTCATTGTTTGAAAGATATTTTTTTTAAAACATAGAAAACAGAATGACCACAGGAGCAAAATCAACTTCTGACTTCCTATCAGCTTCCCCATTGAGTTTCTTTTCCCTTCCTTGTCATTATATTCCTCCTTTCCTTCCCTCCCTCCTTCCCTCCCTTTCATTCCCTTCCACCTTTCCTTTGCTATGAAAAGCTGGTTTGCCATTGTAAGGATAGTTATGTGTAATCTCTAGGCTCACTACTGTATTAGTGAGGAGGAAATTAGAACCTTTAAAATGTATTGATACAATGCAAACAATTAAAATGTTATGTAATTGACAAGTTATGTTTTGATTGTTTGCATTGTATGAATGATTTTTGTAAGTGTTTGCAAGGTGTTGCAGTTGAACAATTTATCCATTTTCATACCCATTTCTGAAAAATAGTGTTGTAACTTGTGCATTGTTTTTATTAAATGAGGTACCAGGTTCTATAGCCGAAGTAATTTTTGATCTGGTCAATTCTGTTATGGTCATTTTCTGAAGTTACTTTTACTGAAGAATTTTCCATTTGCAAGTTTTCAAATTGAATGTTGCTCACTTAACAGATTGAGGAAGCTCTTGTCCGAAGAAAGAAGATGGAACTTCTTCAAAAATATGCCAGTGAAGCTCTTCTGGCTCAAAGTGAAGAGGCTAAAAGACTTCTAGGATTATAGTAATTGCTCCTTCTATTTTTATAATCTATCTTGATTCAGTATCTTATTGATTCTATAGAAATAAGACTTCACAAGTTCTAGAATGAAGCAGGTTATTTTTTCCATAATTTGTTTTATTACACATTTTTCACTCTATCCTAACTTATGAAAGTTTATTCATTTTCCGTTTCCATCTTCAAGCTCTAAATAGCTAGCCTGCTTTGAATTTATCTTTGTTACACCTATTTTCCTCTTTGTTAATTTTGTCTATCATGTGTAAATTTGCAATTGTCAGACATTTCTACATCTGTGGAATGTTATTTAATTTTGAGTTTTCAAGAGAACTGAAATGTTCTATATAATTAATATGGAACTATATATTATGCTATCGGAAAAAACACTCACTTGACTGGGTTTTTGAAATGCTGAATATTTCAGCAAGTAAAATTGTAAATACTTTTTTATAAAATCTCTCAGTTTTTAAATAAAACTTTATCAGATTTAATTGTTCATTGCTTTTGTTAAAAATACTAAAATTTCTCAGCTATGAATATAGTAATTTATAAATGATATGAATTCTAGGAATATATAAGTATCAACAAAATGAAAAAAAAATCACACATTCTATGTAAAATTTTGTGTGTTTGTGTGCATGTGTGTGTGTACAAAAAATTAATTTTCCAGGAACCGTTTGGAGTTTTATGACTGTTTTTATCATAGGCTTTTTACAATGATATTCAAATACAGTACATAATTATACAATTAGTCCATCATACAGCAACATGAAGTTTCTATAATGTGACCCATTTTTCCACTAGCAAACTAACCAGTGTGGATGCTAATATTTAGCAATTGTAAGACAGAACAAAATATTTTTAAAGTATTAGTCAAATCAATCTTCATATACTGTATATTGTATTGTGTTGACGAGTGGAATCTTTAAATACATTTTATAAAATCATAGCATAGTATACCAGCTATATATAAACTTGGAGCAAAATTTCAATACCTGGAATAAGAAAAATAATATAAGATTATAGATTTGATGCAGATGCACCCATTACTGGCAAAGTAGACATTATTGGCAAAGCCAATTCTTTAAAGTTTCCCACTATGGTAAGTGAAATTGGTACTAGAGATTTGGATACACTTGAGGGGTTGGACATTGCAAAATCACCAGAGCTTTCGAGCAAACAGTTGCATTTCTCTGAAAATGTAGTTTTGTAATTTGGAGAGTGTTTCTGAACCAGAAATTTTGGGGGGTATATCTGGGGGAACAGTGATTGCCAAAATACTGTTTTGAAAATAAATGTATTCTACCCATAACCAGGATTCCTAAAAATAAAATGTGCAGAACAGCCCAGTGCACGTATTTTGGAGAGAGAAAGGTTTCCTGATGATGGATTCCAGCGTGAACCCAAAAACTTGGAAGAATAAACCTTTGGTCCCAATGGCCAGCTCAGATTGGATTCTGCAATGTTGTTTTTTTCTTAAACAAAAGTCAGCCTTTGCATGTTCTTGTTATCTTCTTCAGGATAGCAGTTATACTGGTTATATGGCTTTAAAGGATGTCTACATCTCACCAAGTACTTAGCTCAACTTGGCTTAGCTGGGAGACTGCCACATTCAGATTTTTCATTTTAAAAAATCCTGATCATAAAAAGGCCTCCAGAATATGTGCTAGAGCACTATACATACCCCTGGGTGCAGGCAATAGTTAATGGCTTACAAAGTAGCCTCTAAATTAGAGGTCCTAGAGTGCGTAGAAAATAGTATGCTTGGGTTTGAGTTACACTTACAGCATTCTAGCAAAATGGGTCCAAACCAATCATATAGTCCTTAGCAGGGACCACTGAATTGGCACAGGTGTGACTATCGTATTGCATGTAAACTTGAGTTGGGCAATCAAAGTCACCATATACAGCCCATGTAATTATAACAATGGCATATATTGTAGAAGGTAGTGATTTGAAATGTAAAAGGAGTAAATGGTAAAGAGTATAAATTTAAAGAAAGAACAGTAAGTATGTTGTGTATCTCTGAAACTAAGGAAAGGGGAAAAGATGTAATTGATTAGAATACAGGGACTCTGAACTGTGCTACTGATGGATCACATACTGAATTAGGAATGATATATAAGATATTTCAGTATGCATTCATGTCATGTAGTTTCTTATGTGGTGGATATAAAAGTAGGAATTTATGAGGTGATAGGATTTTATTTTCTAGTGTGAATTGTGATAATGGAAGAACCAGGTGTAAGTTTTGGGGAAAACTGCTATATTCTAAATAAATGCAATTCAGAGATGCAATTCATTATACTACTAGTTGAAATGGATGGATGGATGAAACAGGTACAAAAGAAAAGGGTTATTTGGAGACTGAAAAATAAAAGAAAATGTAGTTGATTGTGCAGAGTTATAATGAAATGAGCAGTTTGTGGTTGTTTGCTAAATATAATAACAAGAACATGATATAAGTATGTGGGTTGAATACAAAAGTGAGCTACCTCTGCACCAAAGAAGTATGCTGAGTTGTTACATGCATAGAATGAATGAAGATTGAGTCACAAAACTCAAGAAGTTTGTGTATGAAAGTATGAAGGAAGAATGGGTAAACTGAGAGGAGGAAAAGACTTGAGAAAGTTGCGGTTGGAAGAAGTTTATCAGAACCTTAGAAAGAAGTATAAAGTACGAAAAGTGGTGGAACTCAGAATGCACTGCAATGAGAGAATGTTATGCAGGTAAAGTAAATGGCATTTTTACAATATTTATTCATTTATTTGATTTGTCAATCGCTTACAAGATAATAGGTATAAGTATAAACATGAATACATTAAATGGACACATAAGAAAAATAAAAAGAATCAATAGGACAGGGACGGTAGGCACATTGGTGCGCTTTTGCACACTCCCTACAGACCTCTTAGGAAAGGGGTGAGGTCAATAGTAGACAGTCTAAGGTTAAAGTTTTTGGGATTTGGGGAAGAAACCACAGGGTCAGGTAGAGTATTCCAGACATTGACCACTCTTGCTGAAGTCGTATTTCCTGCAATCAAGTTTGGTGTGGTTAACCTTGAGTTTGTATCTATTGTGTGCTGTTGTATTGTTATGGTTGAAGCTGAAGTATTCATTGACAGGTAGGACATTGCAATGTATGATTTTATATACTATACTTAGATCGGACCAAAGGTGGCGTAGTTCTAGGTTTTCTAGGTCTAGAATTTCAAGTCTGGTGGCATAAGGTATTCTGCAACAAGTAGAGGAGTAGAAGACTTTCTCAACTGTGTTAATATCAGATACGTAATGTGGGTTCCAGACTGATGAGCTGTATTCGAGTATTGGTCTAGCAAAAGTTTTGTATGCTCTAGTTAGTAGTGTAATATTACAGAGAAAAAGCTATGTAGGATTAGGTTAACAACTCTTAATGCCTTTTTGGCTATGTAGTTACAGTGGACTCTAGCACTTAGATCATTAGAGGTGAGTACTCCAAGATCCTTGACAGAGTTTGGATCATCAACAAGATCTTGACTATTCAGCTTGTATTTTATTTTCTGATTTTTTTTGCCAATATGTAAGACAGAGCATTTATTTGTTGAGATTTGAAGTTGCCATTTGTTTGACCATTCTGATACATAGTGGAGGTCTTTTTGAAGGGTAGCAGTATTGTCTGTGGTATTGAAAGACAAGCCCCCTAGGCAAACTGTCCACCCCACCACCCACCCTACCCCCAAAAAAGAAAGGCGAATAAGAACTTGAGTTGGCTAACTGTCGGCAAAGCGAAGCGGGCGAAGAGCTCGACGGTCGCCCCGCCGATTTCTCTCGTCAGGATCTCCGCAGAAACGCGACGAAGGGCGACCCTAAGCGGTGAAAGGGCCTGTCCGTGCCTGGCAGGCTCCACCTCTTGGGCGACGTAGAGGCAAAAGGGGGCTGGGCCGGAGAAAAGCATTAGAGAGAAGCCGGCGTCGGCTTTCTGGCCGTGGAGGCGATGCAGCTGAGGCGCTCGTTGCTCTTTTGAGAGCCCTCGGGCAGGAGGGCTGCCTGGGTCCCTGGCGAGCCCGCGCAAAGGACGGGCGCTATGCGGGGCCTGCTGCCCCTCCTCTGCCGGCGTCTTCAGAGAGCCCCGGCTGCGGGAGATCCGGGGAGGCTCCGGCTTTGCCACGAGGCTCCGGCTCCCGCAGCTTCCGGAGGGAGCAAAGGCAGCGTCCAGGTAAAGAGAGGCTTGCCCGCTTTTTCTCGCCCCGGGATGCTGAGGGCGGGGGGGCCGGGAGCGATTTGGGAAGCCCCGTTCTCCCTGTCGCTCCCTTGAGCCCCGCACGTCCCCGACCCGAGCAAGCCCCGAGAGCGTAAGGTGTACACGGAGCTCTTTCTCTCCGTGCCGGGGTGGCATTTCTTTCAAACGAGAGCAGAAGGAGAAGGGAAGAAAAGCCTGGCGCCATCTGCTTTCGGAAGACCTACGCGGGAAAGCGCTCCTTTTATTTTTTATTTTTTTGGGGGGGTGGGGGGAAGGCTTCGCGCTTTCGTGGGTCTGAATGCCGATTTTGTTTTTTTGAGGGGGGTGGGGAAGCAAACACCGAAGGTCTTCCCGGTTAAGAGAACTTTTCTTCTCGTTTTCATTTCACTCTTACTGCCACTTTCCCCACTTTGGAGGAAACTGGTCAGCGAAGGAAGGCAGAATTTGTTATTTTCCAGCTGTGGCTTTCTCAGAAACGAGCTATGCCGGGGTTTTACCCCTTTTTCAAGCAGCCAGCAATGAGTTTGGGGGACCCGGTTTTTTTGTTTTACTCTTTTTGCTCAGGAGCAGCTAGCTATTCGGTTCCTGTCAAATTGGTTCATGGTGATTGCTTCTGCTGCTGTCAATTTGTTGTTGTTTTTTAAACTGTTGTCCCTTCAGCATCGGCTGGCTGGACTTTTTGCTGGAGAAGAAGTCTGAATTCCTGACCAAATACATGGGATAGTACTCCTGGGTAGTTGTGAAACTTACATTTCATGAGTTCTTGAGAAGTTGCACCGAACTGTTAAAGTGCATGTCAGATTTGAGTGATCAAGGATTTGTATTCCAAAATATTTGCTGTACATTCTCTGTTCATTTTAAGCTGGGTTATCTTGTTTGAAACAATTCATACAGAGGAGAGTTTGTTTTAAATGATAAAGATTGCTGATGTTTTCTTAATCACCCTGGTTTTCAAACATGTGCTTTTTTAAAGTCATCCCTGATTTAACCAAACATAGGAATTCTGTATTGTTTGCTAGCTGGAGAACACCTTTAGGCTAGGAGTTGTATATAAAGCACCTTTCAAATTTAAGCAGGGTTATTTGGGCTCAAGTAACCTGTCTGAACTAGTAGTGCTCCTTTTGTAATCATCATCACTACTGCTGTAGTTCCTTAAGCCAGGAACTGTGTACTGGGTTCCTCCACATAGGTGGGGGAAAGAGTACATAAATTAGTATTACCTTTATGTTTAGAGGATTATATTCAGAGTTAACAATGTGCTAAATATTAAGATTCATAAACTAGCATTAATCTTTGTATTCATATATGAGAAGGAGTTAGATGAGAACGATCAGTCAATAAATGTTTTCTGCAAAAACTAGAATAAAGACAAACTCAGAAGAATGTGCAGAATGTGGAAATCATTTAAACCCTTTTCGAGGCAGTGGTCATTGGAAACACGTTTTAACCTCTCAGTAACAAAATGACATGCTTGCATCGCTGTTTCTGCTCTCAGTATATAGGAACAGTGCAGGTTGCATATGCTGCTCCTTTGAGTCGCATGATGGGCAGATTAGAATGAACAGTAGGCAGCATTAGAAGCTGCTGCCCTAGTGCTTCTATAGGGAAACACTATTTTTTTTCTGTGGCCCTGATCCTCCCCATTTTTAATGTTCTTTTTGTTTTGCCAACTTCACTACCACATTTGGTATCATTCTGTCTTTATGGAGTTATCCTGCTGACGATCAGAGAGGATCCTGGTCCCTTTTGCATATCTTTTCCTGGATTATTTTGATTCCAGGGATGTTTATGTTTCTTTAGAGAAAGTCAGCGTACATGAAAAATACAGTAATGTTTGAAATAAGACACTATTCTCCTGTTGAAAGGCAAGCACAAATAACAGCAAATCAACTTGGGCTGCAACTTTGATATTAATGAAGATGATGGGTTGCAATATTGTAAAAGGCATGAACTTTCAGCTTTTTTCAGAAACATTGTTTGAATTATTAGTCATAATAAGGTACAGGCTCAAGGTTGACTTAGCCTTCCACCCTCCTAAGGTTAGTAAAATGAGGACCCAGATTGTTGGGGGCAATATGTGAGACTGTAAACCACTTAGAGAACACTGTAAACTGTAAAGCATTGTGAAGTGGTATATAAGTCTAAGTGCTATTGCTATATGAGGTGGCTATATGGTTTGCTTTTGCAATGGGTTTATTTTGCAATAGCCATTTGTTTATTCAGTTTGTTTTCATGTGCAAAGAGTAATCCCAAAGGTAAAATGTGGGATTGTGTTTATACTTGCAGCCATGTACAAATCTCAGCCATCACTACTAGCACATTCAAGCTGACTACTTAAAAATTAGATTGCTGGACTTGTTATATTCTTTTATTTTCCTTTTTGATTTTACTTATTTTAGCAATATGTTTCTATCTTTCAAAAGATCAAAATTGTGCAGGCAATTTTTTTTTTCTGATGCACTTGACAGAAGTTTGACTTCGAAGAAACAGGATAGGAAGTGTACAGTACTGACACTTTTCAAATTTGGTGTTGGAGAAAAACTGAGAATACCAAGATAAGAAACAAATAGATCATCAAACAAATCAAAACAGAGATGGCACAAATGAGCAGACTGAAATGATCATACTATGGACACATGTTAAGACCTACTTATCTGGAGAAATCAGTAATGCTGGGAAAGGTGGAAATAAAGAGCAGAAGGTGATGGATTCATTGATAGCAGTAATAGGTGTGTCATTGAAAGCCTGAAGAACAGGTTGCGGACATATTCTCCTGGAGATAATCTATCTACAGTACCTGGTTTTGCTACCGTCTTGATACATAATCAATTCTACCTTTCAAACTACTGTTTATTTTTTTCCCCATCAGTGCTATGGCAAATGGAATGCAGACATTATGCCAACAGTTTCTTTCTGGTTTCTGGGCAAAGCCAAACTAAAATGACTAATATGTTATTACGATCTCCATACTCCTTGGGGGCAAATATGTAGTGCAATTATGTAGTAATTGGGCATATAAGTGCCAGTATCTAACTTGGCATAAATTTTTAATTCTCTAAACTACTTAAATATCTAATCATGTAAAA